TTCAAGTGACTGAAATGCTTGAAGCGCTGCAAGAAATTTTGGCTATGGAGCAAGGAAAAATAAATTAAAAATGATTACATCACATGAGGGGAGAAAAAACAAAAATCGAAAAAAATGGCCTTTAAAAATATTCTTCCACCTTTTGTTATTCCCACTGTCCAGAACTTGTGCTTTTGGCAAGCCCTTAAAAAAATGCTGCCTTTCAAAAACACTTCAGAGAATACTTCAAAGTTTCAAAAAATGACAGTTGGGACTGGAAGTTGGAGGCCAGCGGTTGAAAATGCCATACCATGTGTTGAAATTGAGCAGCTTTGGGGCGGAAAAAAGGCCAAAAAAGAAAAAAAAAAAAAGTGCTTTTGCAAAGTGAGTCGCAGTTTTTTGGGGGGTGAAAAAAGTCCAAAACAGAGTTACAAGTATCAAGTGGCGACAATCAGAAGCAGGTAGAGAAGGGTAGAAAAGGGGGAGTTGTAGATATAGGCGAAGGTTGTTAGTATTTGGCGGGGTAGGTTAAGAGGGGTAGACTGGATTTTCAGTTGGGGCTTTGATTGAGCGAACACATACCATCCTCCTCTGTGCGGACCAGCTGTGGCAGACTTTCCGGCCCCGCTCCGACATTCGTGTGAGCAATGACCGTCACGTGGTACTCTGTCCATTTTTCCAAGTTTTCCAAAAGGTACTGGGAGCTTTCCGCTGGGATGCTGGGGATTTGACGTGCCGTCGTGTCCTCCCCTTCCGCCGCAGTATATTGGATACTGTATTGTGTTATGATCCCATTTTGTAATTCCACTGGGGGTGGCCGCCAACTTACCAGGACGCTGGTGGAGCTGGGGCTGTGGCACTTGACGTCCTGAGGCGGGCCTGAGGGTTCTGGATGGCGGGTTGGGTTTTGGAGCACGTTGTTGTTTTTGTTTGTTTGTTTGGTCGGGCCGTTCATAGAGTTGGATATTTGGTTTAAAGGAGTTTCGGGTTTTGATCAGGGTGATGATGGTAGAATTGACCAAACAAAGGAAAAAAAGAAAAGGGAAATAAAATGACACAAAATGAGGAAAAAGCACAAGGACTCATGGAGAAATGAAAATACTTCAAATCAATGACACATCACAAAGACAAAAAAGGTAAACACAAAAGTGTAAACACTGGTAATGAATGGAGGATGTTGGTTGGAAAAAGGACAGCTTTACCATTTATAACCTACCTTTGTGATGACAAAATAATATATAAAAGCAAAGGGAAACAAAAATAAAATATCCTAATATATTATTTCTCAGATTTGTTCTTTCTGAATGAAAACCTACAGATTTCTAGGTACTTTAAGATAAACCATTCCAAAAGAAATTTACTTATAAGTGTGACAAATTTGGCAAGCAGTTACCATCAATCCAAAAACATAAAGGTTGATGCTTTAACTAGATTGAAATAGAAAAATGTTGTTTTTGTCACCAACCTTTCCGAAGCCTGTTGGTTTGTGGTAAAAGCCTGATTGTACAACAGAGAACTTCCCAAGGAGACATGACTGGTTCATTAGATTCTGATAACATCGGCATGCACTTTTTAAACTGAGTCCATCAATTACCTCCGAACAAACATCTGGGCAGAACTTCATAGCTTTAATTAATACCCACCTGATCTCTGCCCCTGTCTTTCCAGAGACCTGAGATTTATGTTAAGATGTGCAAAGTCAAAAATAGCAGATTGTATTTACGGGTATTTATCCGACACTGAGCAAAGTGCAGTGACTTTAGTTAAATTTTGTGAGGAACAGATTTGAATTCCAACCTGTTTCATAAATCTGAGGTCTCCCTAACTACAGACAATGCTTTAGTTGAGCTTTCTATGATAGAATTGATCCACAATGTTATTGATTCGATTTGTGAACATCAGTGTTCATTGGTAAAGAAAATGGGAAAATCCCCTTGATCTCTGGAGAAGTGGTTTCTGCAGCTACATAGAAAGCTCAGTCTCTTTTTTTGGCAAATATGCAAAGTCAAGAGACAAGGCTTCCTAAAGGCCGTCCGTTGTGAGTAATGCTCATGTGGGCATTCGTATAAATAATTCACAGCTTTATCATTCATTCGAGCCGCACTGTTTTTGCACAACAAAGGTGGAGAGGGGCACTCTTTATATAACCTTGTCTCCTGACTTCACAGGAAAGCCTGGGTACACTGTCCATGCAGCCTTTTCAAGGTGAACACTGCACGGTCAGGTGGACTCCATGACACTACTGTTTCAAATCTTTACACCTTTTGCTATTTTCAAATGCATTATCCCTTTTTCGAGAAAAACGTTGTTCTGTCTGCTTTCAGAACTTTTTCTGGGAGGGTGGTGGGTTTGCAGCGCATATAAAATAGAGTAGAATGCATTTGAAAATGGTTTCCTTCCCAAACAGAGGGATGTTGGTGAGATAAGGAAAGAGACCTACGTGTCTGTGGAGTTTCTGCCGAGATCTCGTTGGTGTAAGCTCCAACCCCATGTTTACTACGGGCAGCCAAGCGGAAAGTATAAGTAGTGAAGGGCTTCAAGTCCTTCAGTAGGTATGTTGTGGTCGGCTCAAAGCTGATTCGCTTCTGTGGGGGAAAACAGTGAGTAGTCAGTTTTCCATAAAAGCAGGGAGTTACAGTTAATAAAATTGATAAATGAAAGCATGCTGCCCTTTCAGATATAAAAAAGAAATTGAGCGTGCAAAGGATATTAATAAATCGTGAGATGAGATGTAAATCAACATCAACACAGTCATGAAGCCTTTATTTTGAAAAGTTACACGTTTAAACGCATTAAACAGTTACTTTTAGTAAAGTGAATTAAATATATAGGAGTTTTACCCCCATTTTGTTTTGGTGTATTAAAAACAAATTATATTCAATATACTGTTCTTATTTTCTTGCCATTAATAAAACTTGCTAATGTTACAAATTCTCAAATTGATGAGTATAGAGCAACTTATTTGGCAAGAATAAGTTAATTTTCGTTGTATGTTGCAGTTATTACAGATTTTTTTTAAACGTATTTGTTGTCAAAACATCAAATTCGGACAATAATTACCTCCTCTCTGTCGTCCCTCTTCCTGTACATGAGCTCATATCCTGTGATTTGATTCTCCTGTCCGGTCTGTGCCGGAGCGACCCATGACAGTAAAATGCTCGTTTCCGATTTGGCTTCTCCCTTGAAGTCGGTCGGTTGGGAGGGAACTGGAATAAGAGCGGAGAGATAAATTCATACACTTTGTGGCGAGGGTTATTGCCACAAGAGCCACGTTTTTATTTCAGAAGATGCAGTCATTTCAGCCTCATTAGTGCGATGCTGGCACACGGCACACAGTTACTTCATGCTGAAAACAATATCTGACTTTTTCACAAGAAGTAAACAAGAGGACTTTGGAGTTTCTCGTCTGTAGTTAACTACTCTCATAAAAGAAAACATTCTCCCTCTTGAGAAAGCCGGTTGAAGTGTGTGTTGACAGCGTGAAGATGTTTGTGTGTGGTAGCTCTGGTTAGCAATTGTAACCCACTAATGAGGATCTAAAAAATGGAGCTGCAAACATTTTTGTGACACTCCAAGCTTGATTGTGGGGTGAGAACATTTTTGAAGCTTAGATTTTTCTCACTTTGTATTTTTGGTATTCTTATCTTCTACAACACAAACAAACTACACTCACCTCCTGTCTTAGCGATGATTTGAAGGTCTGGAGAAAGGGGTCCGTCACCAACAGAGGTGTAGGCCAGGACCTTGATGTAGTAGGTCTTGTTGGGGATGAGGCCCTGGATGGTGACAAAGTTAGACCCCCGAACAATCTGCTTTTCCCAGAGGTTGACATGTTGGGCGGAGTCCATGGTGTAGTAGACTCTGTAGCCCATGATCTGCCCATTAGCCTCCTCCGGCTCATCCCAGTGAATCACAGCTGTGGTGGTGCTCAGCATGTGACCTCTGACCTGCCTCGGTGCCGTGCTGGGTGCCTGCTCAGCTGTTTTGGCCTCGATGCTCTCGCTGGGTGGCCCCCGCCCGATGTTGTTCACTGCCACCACTCGAAACTCGTAGTCGGAGTAGGGGCTGAGGCCCCCCACGCTGTACCGAGTGGTGGCCACGCCATCAATCTCCTTGTACGAGTCCTCCGAGTACTTGGACTTGTGTTGGATGATGTAGTAGGACACCGGCTCAGGATTGCCAGAGTCCCAAGTCAGCGTTATGCTGGTGGCTGTGCGCTCCGTCACCACAGGAATGCCAGGAGCCTTGGGCAATGCTGCGATGATAATTATTACATAAATATTAATAAAAATGCAAATTATTCTGCAAACATTAGAAAGTTTTACCTCTGTAGAGTAATTTATGTTGCAGTCCATAGAGACCTTTATTTTAATTTTGTTGATGGTTGAATAATATTGATTGCATTCATTTCCCAGCCCACTGCACTTGGTCCTGATGATATACCGTATATCTGGAGTCATAAGAGACTCGTATATTCTGTGCATCCTTTTAGGTGGATAGTATTGTTAGTAATACATGAAAAAATAAAGAAAAATAGTTCGAAATAAGACAAATACGTGAGATTAAAAACTTGCATCCACCATGTTCAGCAGCTGGTAATGCTGTTGTCTTTAATCTCAGATTTCCCCGTGTTTATCACTTTAATAATTTAGCAGCTAAATTTATTGCTTTAATCCCCCACGCCGTGGCACATGGCAAAAGATATCAGGGCAATATATTGTCTTTATATGCCGTCTGAAGTATGCTTCTGGGGGAGCTTGCTGCCAGACTGTTATATTGTGACTAATATCTCTGTGTTATGTCTAGGAAAAACAAAACTGAGTGTGTGTATGTGTGTGTGTGTGGGGGGGGGGTGTTTGCACATGTACACGATGTTGGCAGTCTGAGATCTTTGCAGTATGCTGCAGTGTAGATATGATTACACCCTGATAAGCAGCATGCCTACAGAGGACACCAAACAATACTCTGTGTTTCACACCCCCCTGTTTCGCCCCCTTCTCCCCCATCTCCTGCGAACAGAAATCAGGCGCTTTCTGGCTCTGCAGCTTTCCAGCTGTGTGATAAGCACTTCACTATATTCTTAATCTGGCATCTAATGCACTGAGGCTGGTGCCAGGGCTTGTCTAAGGCATCAAGGAATCCTCTGCCGATGACTTATCGTGGCAACGAGAAGTAAATAACTTTCTTTTAAGCGCTGCCAGTAGTCTCTGCTTGGATAGTTTGCTCTGACACATACCAGCTGCAAACTGAAGTAGATATTTTTAACTACATGCAAAATTTACATAGTGTGAAGTCCTTCCCTTGGCTTGTGCATCTATTATATAAGCACGAAATGTCTTTTTAATTATAGATGAGCAGAATAAGAAGCGGCCCTACCTTTGACTGTTATCTGTGCCACAGCCTCTATCACCCCCAGGGTCGACATGGCCACACATGTGTAGTTGGCCGACTGCCGCACGTCTGTAAGCTCCAAAACGTTCCGTCCAATCGGCATGTCGTCCTCTGGTGTGAGGTCTTCAGCACCCAGCATCCACTTGACATATGGCATAGGGGAGCCCACTGCGACGCACGTGATGTTGACGCTACCGCCCGGCATGATCTCATTGTCTGTGGGTGGAATGGAGAATCGTGGTGGCACCCGGCGCACTGAAAAAAATACAGACATAGTTTAAGAAACAAGCAGAAAATGGAACGACCAAAGACCTTTTTATAGAAAAATGAAAGAAAACATTGGTTAAAGGTTTAATTGTTTCACAGATATATTGTGTTTCTAGATAATAATTTAACGTTTGATGAAGGTGAAGAAAACATAATTTAACACATTTGATCCAAGACTTGGAGATTTCAATGGTGAATGGATCAACACATAACACGAGCTCCATGCACAAAATACTGTGTCACCATCGGTACAGATGTACAGGACTCCACAATGTGCTGGAGAGTGGACAGCACTCCACACAACTCTCAGGCTGTGTACTTCCAGCTGATGTGAAGTAATGTGCCGCGTCACATTCTCACATCACACAAACATAGATGACATTGTTGAGAAGCCGTACACGCAATAAAGGGGGGAACGTTTTTATCTCTGCTGATCCGGCTCAGTAAAAAGTAGAAAGTAGGGCTGTCAAATGTTATGCATTCAAATTTAGATTTATAACAGTCATATAAGAAAATAATTTGTATTTATCTACTTGTATATGCAGTTATGCAAGATTACAGCCATACATTGCTTTGTGATAGAAAGGTTAACCATTAAAAGTGGCTTTAGATGTTGGCTTGCAGGACAACTCACTGATCCTGGTGAACTCAATTACTAATGAAAAGTCTCGAGGAACAATTATTCTCGAAGCATTATTGGCGTCGCCATGCTACATTTGTGATTGTACAAATGGATCCACGCCTGTGAATAAATCAAAATCAAGAGCATTGAGTGTAGTTAATTCAAATTATTTTCAAAAGGACCGGATGATTTTAAGCGCAGTTGAAGATGAAGTGCTGATAGAGGTCTTTTGTTGTGATATTAAAGTTGACAGAGGAGCATGTTTCAAGAATTTCGAGGACGTCATGTGTCTTCCTGGATAAATGTTTTTCCATTCTTTGTGTATAGCAGATAAAGTAATACTTTTGCACCAATCAAAATTATGCAGAAAACTGCTACTGGAGCAATTGCTGAAGAAATGTGCTTTTTCTTAGTTCAATGATTACTTTTCTTAAATTACTTGTGAAGGGTTCAGAAGTGTTGCTGTTATCACTGGAGTCGAAATGCATATCAAGTGACAGCTCTAGTGGATTCACATTAAAAATCAAAGTTCTCAAAAACAAAGAGTAAAAGTCTAAAATTTTAACTTTCAAGTAAAATATCCATTATGCACATGGATGACCTTTTATCATAGAGCAACAGTCCGTCATGCAACAATATGTGACTTTATGAGATATGTAGGGGGGGCTGCAGGATCAAGATAAACAGTAATAGGGTCAAAAGGAGAATGTTTTGTTGCACAGATTAAATGGAGTTTGCTGTAAATGTGGCAAGCACAAGGTAAAGGTGAGGAGAAAAAGAAAATTTGGACAAAGGTTAATGGACTGGAAAGAACGAATATCAAAGTAAACATTTTGATTCTTCTCAGGTTAACAGATTAGGAATTCTAAATATGAATATTTAAGCACTGACAAGGACTTCCATTGAAATTAAAGTCAATGTTACCGCCCATGCTTTTTCAAATAGATTACTTTTGACTTGAATTTTTTTATTGACCCTTGAGGAAATGTCACTTTCTAAATTCCGAGTACTTAGTATTTATAGCCCGAAAATTTACTCTGCTTGTAAACGGCCCTGCGACTCTAGTCGGTCATTTGCTCTATTTGACTGCGTCATAGGCCCATGGTTACTGTTGCCTACCACTAACTCACAAAGCCCATTCTGTTGAGCAGACTGCTGCTCTCCAGAGAGGGAATCTGGGGGAACTGCTTGCATTATTAAATACAACGTTTCTCTCTCTCAATATTTAATTAATAACCAATTGGATCACGCTCCCCACAGACATAATATTATCCTGCTCATTTGAATATCATTACATTTGTCAAGTCTCGTGGATAACGCACTAAATACATAATTCTTTCATGACTTCCTCGCACGGAAAGATCCCCGTCAGAGGAAGTGTATAATCTCTGAGGGCAAGGTTGTTTTTACAGCTTGGTGCTTGACTTTAGTGCCAATTACAACAAAGGACTGATTTTGCTTGAACATATTTTATCTGTGAGAAACTTCTACTAGAGAGAGAAAGAGCTAATTTGAGTGTTGTAATCCTTAAATGGCGACATGAAGAAAAAGATGCAGTGCGGTTATGTGGAGCAAGCTGCTGCTATTAGTCGTAGGAGCCAATAGACAATCAAGTATATTGTTCTGGCTGATATTTTATTCCACATTACTTTTATGAGAGAAAATATTTTCTCACTCAACATTTCATGTTTTTTTTGTTTTCTTATCCAAATGACCTGCTTTTGTTGGTCAGAAATCATTTGAGAGAACAAGCAGGGACACTGACAGGGTAGAGAGTTCTGGGGAGGGGGGACAACTGGCTCAAGCATTAACAGGTGACCATGCAAATAAGACTCTCAGACAGATGCAAATATCGTCCCTGCCCCCCCACCCCAAAGATGCAAACATGCACCACCTGTCGGACAGTGAAGCATTCGGACAAGGACCAGGGGCATACTTAAGAGGAACATGGACATTGAATGTGTGACATTGATAGAAATGAAATCGTTCGAGACAAAAATGGCGAAAAGATACATAGAGCCCACAGTAATGCATCTGTGTTTGTATTTGAACGTCTGTAGGAGTTTGACATTTTTTTGTGTGGAAAAACAAGTGAACTCATTTCTGTTTTTGTGTGGTGTTCAAAAAGTAAAAACACACCAACCTTCTCGCAGCTCTGAGGGATGTAGGGAAATTGATGCAGAACAAAATGAAATAAGGGAAGGAGAAAAACAAGGGAAACACAGAGAGTAAAAAGGCCATGTTGTAGGTCTTTAGATGCTATGCAAACAATTCGAAGGACCTTATTTCTCTTAAGGTGCTGGGAGGTATCATTACTTTACACATATTCTGCCCAAGCCGTGTGGTTAGCTTATTGTGATAATTAAAATGAATGCCTTTTACTTTTGTTTACATTAGGTATGATATTATTTGAAATCTGAATTGTAATTAATGACTATAAAAACTAACCACAGGACTGAAAAGCATCAGATTTATAGTAGAATCAAGATATCAAATGTCTATATGCTGTTCATATATAGAGAGAATTAAGACAATACTGGAAGAGTTTAAAAAAAAGCCTGGATTGATGTATTTGAGTAAAAGTGAGCAGCAAAAACAATGTTTGTACCAACGCATCAGATATTTTGACATTAAAAGAATGAAAGACCTGTGAAAAAGGAATAGAGAATCTTTTGCTGCTGCCTGAACTACCTTCTATTTCCTAAAAAAACATTAAGCTTTATATTTCTAACAGTGTAGGAATCAAAAACTGTAGGTTATTAAAAGCTAAATTTACCTGCAGGTAGAATCATTAATTACCATTCATGAAAAAGTTTTAATTCTTGATTTAACCATTTTATTTTAACGTCAATAAGAAAAGTAGCGAGATTTAATATGTCTCTCCTATGTTGATCAATGTGTGAGGAGAAAAAGGCCAGAGAGGATCTGTTCACTGCTTGGGAAAGAGTTGGGGCTGATGGAGGAGGCCTGTCCACAAGTTACTCCGACAGTCAGGTTTGAGAGGCAATTAGTAGATAAACACTGCAAGCAAGTCTAGTCATTGGTGCTGGATTCAGGATAATCAACAGAAAGGACCAAAAACACATAACAGAGCAGATTCTGTAGGTTCAAATCAGTGCAGGTGAGTCAAGTGCAAAATAAAAACCATACAAAGCATACTTACAATGACCTCACAGGCTACGGCCCCTGCTGACTTTATCGGCTGATTTAAAGATTTCTCATAAATTTCAAAGAGAAAGTTAATAAAATGGCAGATAGAGACATGCAGGCATTGTTAACACGCGTTTCCTACCTCTGACGTATAGATTTGCTGGCGCAGAGTAGCGGGTTCCATCGTTGTTGGTCGCCACACATTCATACTTTCCCTGGTCGGACTCTTCGCTCTGCTCTATCTGGAGGGCTCCTGGTTGGGGAATAGCAAACGGTGCAGCAGGGTGCGTTTGGTTAAAATGACGTCGCTCGCATCAAGTTCACAAGAAAAAAACAAAAGAAGTCCTTGGACCTCAAGGAGGCCAAGAACGGCCACCTTCATTTCTAGTTTGGCTTTGTCCTTTCAAGCTTCAGTAGTTGGACCGTTTGAGAGAAATCATAATTAAACAATATCCAATGAAATGCTACATGTATCTGTTACTATGAACTCTGTATTTAAAAGTTCATCCCACGTCATTATCACAGCCGGATCCATTGGCTGAGATAAAATGGAGGCTGTGTTATCCGACTATAGACGAGGGATAGCTTCAAATGGTTTATCATGCAAGACACTGCGATTCATATGTTGTTCCCTTTTAACAGGCCTAAAGTAACAACAAGACGTGTTAACCAAATCCAAAAGGAAAAAAAAGACAAAATGCCTATGTTTCATTTGCTTTATTCTACATATGTATTTTTGATGGCGTCTTAAATATAAAAAAAAGGCTAATTACGTTTAAACTACAGGGTCTAAAAAGACACTCATCCTAGCGCCAATGTCCAAAAAAGCCATAATTTCACTTTGAAGATTAGGGGCAAGCCCTTCAATATACAACATGTCACTGGACTGGTCAATATGGGGATGAGTGATAACTGCTTCAGGGAAACATGGATCAAACAAAAAAAGGTTTACAGTATAAGAAAGCAGCATAACAAGGGAGGACAATTGAAAGAAAGAAATTTAGGTATGAATTTTAGCATATTCAATCACAGATCAAGTGTAAAATTCACCTAGTAGAATAATTTTGGACTTCATCTCGAGAAGTTTCTTTTTTTAAAAAAATGCAGCGCATACAAAAAAATGAAAAATGCTGCTTTTATGTGCGGAAAAATTTTAATTGAAGTATTATTCAAGGCAAGAGCAACATATAACCCTCAGGAACAAAAGTTTGACATGCAAATCTTGGCAAGAAATGTATGTCGGCACAACTTACAACCTTCTGACAACCCTTAGCTGAAAAATAAAATGCAGTTGTATTAGAAGACAAAATTCAAAATATCGACCTGAGCCGACAAGAATGTAACCAACCACTGCTTTAGCTTGTGAAAGCTACAAAAGACACCCATAAAAATCCACCAATGGGATCAGCAGTGTGGTGTCACATGACCCAGGGAAAAATGGCTTTAAGCAACAACAACTCTCCAGCTTCATGTCACAAGGCAAAAATGAGCCAATCAGGTCCTCGCCAGACTCTACAGTTTGCCTTCCCCAAACCCTGAAGAAAAAAAAGTCAAAAAGTAAAATATTCTCCAAACCCAAGAAAAGTAAGAAAAATAGGTGAAAGAGAAAAAAAGCACCGTAGAAACTTTATCAAAAAAGTGGTTGTTTGGGCTTTTTTGTAGAGGTACAGGAGAGGAAAGCAAATAGAAGAAATGGGAAAAAAATAGTTTGCAAAGATAGGAAGAATTCTTTGGGAGAAAAAAGCAGAGTAGAGGCAATGTTGTCTTCAGCATGCCTGCGTGATTCCACAGCATCTGTGCATATTTTAGTGCTGAACAAGAACAGCTAAGGGGGAAAAATGCTTGGTTGTTTTAGTTGGACAAAAAGAGGGACACATGGTTCGCTATGGCCAAAAAGAAAACAAAAATGAACGGAAAAAATATAGTTTGAAAAAATAATTGTCATTGGATATGCTTATTTGAGCCAGAGCAAGCATATCGCAACTGAGCTAAACAGGCTCTTGAAACCAGAATACAAAGGAGTAAATAAAGCATAGACAAAAAGATGGAATACAAATTTAGTCAACGAAACAGGACAAATAAGAAGGAAGGTCCATATGAACGAAATGGGATTTGGTCTCGGTAAACAGGACAAAAATGGAGGTGATTTCAAGTGGAGATGAATGGGTTGACAGCAAGAATGAATTTGTATTATTTTCATTCTGTGAACGTCAGTTCAGCACTCTTACCTCTTATTGGTGTACCACCTGGGTGGATAATATGAATGCAAATAAGATTAGAAAGAAGAAGCATTAGTACGAGTAGATAGAGGCTGGGGGGCTTTGGAAGAAGAATCAAATTAGATTTAACAGGGTACGTAAATAAAGGTACTAGAGGAAAGAGAAAGGAGAGAATAAGAGAGAGAAGAACTTTTTCTCTACTGGTAAAGAAAGACAGGATTCATCATAGAAAAGTCATTGGTCAGAGAGAAGAACTTGTACATTGGTGTACCACGGGGAGGTGCCATTTTTTTTTTGGCAGTGGCTTCTGAAGACCATCTAGTGAAGGGAAAGACTTTGAGGACTTGGTATATGAGCTTGAAAGCAGACATGACATCCCTTCGCTTGACCTGAGCTGATCACCTCCCTAAAATACTTGAAATTCCCAAACCTACGGTGCTGGTGTTAAGAGATTAAGTGAGTGGGTGAGTGGTGTGTCAGTGAGTCAGCAACAAACATGTGAGGACAGGTCATTACCCAAGTCAGTCTATGACAGTGCTACGCTGAGGTTTTGTGACTATGTAATCCCTGGGTCAAGGTGAGCCTGGAGCTGGCAGTGGTGGGACACTTAAACAACGTGGGGTGAGGGAAGAGTGTGTGTGCCTCAAGTAGTAGCCCTGCAACTAACCTATCTGTTAGTAAAATGCATGCCATGCATTTTAATAGTTGTTGGAAACATGAAAAATTAGTGGGGGGTGATGTGTGCTTTAGAGCTAAGCACTTACCAAAGGATTCTGTAGATTTAAAAATATAGAGAGAAGAAAGACAGCATAAGAATATGAGTATATTTTTTTGAGTACGTTTAGTTCACAAGGTTTCGTTAATGCTCTACGTGAATCAAAGTCGCACATTAGAAATAAGGGTTAATGCTACACAGTTCTGTTGAAAACAAGTCAGCAAGGAAGGAAGGTTAACAAGACGGTTTAACAAAGGACAGCTGTGAAATCTGTGATGACAGGTGGTCAAACATACAAGACTTTACAAGTAGTCGTGCTAATGTGTTGACGTTAGCTGGCACATAAAGCTGGAAACTATTTATTGATTTTGAAGCTTTATTTTCGAAATATTGAAATCAAGATTCAGGTGAATGGGTATATTAGGGTGTGTCACAGGCAAATAAACACAAAGATGGCGTTTACACATTAAAGCAGGGGCTGTAAGTTGAAAGAATCAAGGGGTAAGGGAAAAGCCTTATGAGGTTTTACGCACTACTGTGGCTGATTAGCATCCAGAATTAACCTTAAAGGGTTCTTATATAAAGTAAAGGTCTATTCAAATGAGTTTTAAGGATCACTCTTTTTAAATAGTGAAATTTCATCAAATTCACAAGACTTTTCTGCACGTCTCCTATTTTAAAATCACGTACACTCCTTTCAGATTTCTGAATGAAGCCAAATGTTGAGTATTAATTGTCAGGAAAAGAAAAAAAAGACATAAGAAATAAAGAGAATGGATCCAAAATAACTGCACCAATGCAGTGGAAAGAAAAACCAACAGAAAAACGGCAAAGGAAGTCATTGTAAAAAGTCACAGCAGTGAGCAATGAGGGCAGAGGTTAGGGCAGAAGCCAGCAAACACAGAGGGGGAACAGTCCCAACAGCCCATGACAACACTGGAAGACAAAGGGAGACACGCGTACAGACAACACACACTGGGGCGTACAGAGAGTAAAGGACAGTAGAAACAATGCCATTACCTACAAAATCAAAGCCAAATGAGAAGTTAAATCATGGGAGGAAGAAGAGGATGAGAGAACAGAGGAGACGACAGGGGGAGCAGGTCAGATAGAGGAAAACAAGAGAGAGGACTCCTGTTTTTGTAATCACGCTTTCAGCCGAGGGAACCTACCTGATCTGAGCTGTTTAATGCGTCCATTGTTGTTGGTGGTGTTGACGGGGAGGAAGTCTTTGAACCAGGAGATGTCAGGGTCGGGGTTGCCGCTGGCGGCACAGAGCATGGTGGCAGTGCGTGTTCGCTCCACCACTTTCAACTGTGGGCCCATGTCTATGGTGGGGAACCCAGGGGGCAGCTGGTCCTCTGGAAATAGATGAAAGATGTTGCAGAGATAAGACTGGGAAAGTTATTGTTGGACATAATAATCATGAGACTAGAATAAAAAAAGAGAATTTGCAGTTTTTGGCAAAACATAGACAACAATTCTTAAACTATATATTACTAACTCAAATTAAAGAGAGAAATAAGACCCCTTCACTGTTTCATTCAATAAATTGTCATTTGCCTTTTAATTCACATAATGTGAAAATACAGTTTTAGAAATAATTGACACATTTAAAACAAATCTGAGATCGTATATACAGATGTATTGTAATTTCTGTCATTAAGAATATAATAAACAAGTAAATAATAACTTCCATATTGTAAAGACAGAATCATGCTATACTTGACAACTGTATTGTACGCCATTTATACAATTTAATCTGGTTTGAATGTAATTATTTTGGAATACATTTACACTATCCAGATTATATGTACTCCATTGCAAACCATCATTTGCTTGCTTAAACAATCAAGATATAAGAGGTAAACAAGTGGCTTAACGAGTTGTTAATAATACCTGTTACCCCATGTTTGACTTCTTTATGCTCAACTGTCTCCTAGATTCAATTCTAAGTCATAAGACAAATTCATATATTTCTCCAAATGTCAAACTCCAACTTTGATAAAAGAAAAAAAGGACCGGCGGTTTCACAGACTACATGCGTATTCAGGTGAGGTGGAGCTCTGATGTTCTGGGATGAGAGCAGGTGTCTTGTATAAGCTGTCGTGTTCCCGCCTGTGTCTTAACTCACTGACTGAACAGGGCCGGGCTTCATCTCGCTGTCGTTCGAGATGTGAAAGAAGATAACTCGCATTGCTCTTTGCTCCAAACATCCCAGCAACAGACCAAGTGGAGCAGTCGTATCCCCGTTATGTAATTAGAAGAGATATAAAAGTGGTGATTTTGTACACCCTCGTAAAACTGTTCTTCAAATAGCCCCCACAATTAGGTATTTATATTTGGACAATGATCATTTTACTATTTTCTGCAACTGACAAGTAAGCTTTTATTCAGTACTTGAATTAACAATAAAATAAAATAAAAAGTAAACATGCACAGTTGGAGAGTGACTTATTTAAACCTACAGGTGTCTTTGCATATGTTTCATTTTTCGGACTTTGCATGAAATTCATTTTAAACACAAGGACGAATCCCTCCATGCAGTAACCTCTCCTTTCATCCAGCTGCTCTGCTTTCAATAGCTTGTCACGATTATTCTCTCATTTTTCTTGAAGGGTAACACGGAAAGGTGTAAGTTTAGAAGTTTTGAAAGGGTCATTTATTCGTGAGGTCTAGCCCTCGACTAAAAGTCACCTTCGAAGCTGCGCATTTTAATTTTCAGTTACAATTATATGATATAATGATAATTTTTTTCGTGTATAAACACATCAGCTGATGGTTCTATGAGAATACCCACTGAAAAGAACCTGTATATAAAATCAAAAGGTGGCATTGGAACTGTGTAGTTGTGAAGCATCATTCATCCCACTTGTTTTTGTCAAATATTAGTGGTTATTCAGATTGACCAAAATTCAGATTTACTGCTTATTTTCAATTATTGATGTTATAAGGCTATTTCATTTATATAAATTGTCTTTGTCTAACCTTGATTATGGCTTTTTAACCTGAATCATACTTTACATACACATACAGATAATCACTGTCACTCATTGTAACTACACAAGTGCAGGTGGCCCGAACCCCCACCATCTTTCCAACTTCTTTTGAAAACACAACCAGGCACCCATGTCTCCGATCGTGTTCTTTTGGCATAACAAAGAAAATCAAAGCCTCGGGCCGCTTTGTGTTCGAGCTCCCTCCTCTGAACAGGAAGTATTTTTGGCTTGTGCTAAGTCATGATCTTGGAGCGGAGTGGAGGATTCCATCCACCACACGATCCCTACATGCAAAATGTCTGCTCAATGCTAGTGTTAATCTCCCAAAACAAGACCTGCTTATGCTGAATGCCAATGAGGTTTACGTGCACCTTTAAGTTTTCCCTTCCCCGCTGTGATATGGCTAATTAGACTCTTCGGTTGCTCTCGTAAACGGCACCTTTTTGGAAACGCTTTCTTCATTAAATTTTCATGAGGCGACATCAGTCTGGAAACAGCTTTGAGATGCCATAGCTCGCACACAGCCAACACGACAATCATGGCCTCCTTCCAACAATGCTTTTGGGTATCTGGCATGAGGAACCACCTCAATGGATAAATCTCCTCAGAAATAAACTGTTTTACAAATGAGTGACTTCAGACTGAACTGCAAAACTTTCCCTTGCAACTCTGTGTCCCTGCCTGAACTGAGGTGTCTTGACAGTGATGGAGGTGTGTTGTAGTTGCACATTTAAAAAAAAAAAAAAAAGCCAATCATACAGAAACATTCGCAAATTACTTGAATGAATTCCAGTCCTCTATAATGCAAGCTTCCATTACTGGTCATAGTTATTCCAGGGCCTCTTGGCCCATCCATCTGTATGTAGTCCATCACATAAGCTCATAACATTTTGGTCTGGCACTGTGTTTTTCAAAATAAATGAATTTGTCTTCATTAAACGTCTTAATCATATCACCTCAGCCAACATCATAGTTACATTAGGGAAGTTCAGCTGGAGCACAGATCTTTCATCATCTCTTCATGTCTGTTTCATGTATCTGTGGTCTGATGTTTCTGCATACAGTGTATTCCGTTAATGACTTTTTCATCAATAACAAAAAGAAAAATTCTGAAAGCAACACCTTTACCACTCATCAACAAATGAATGAACCGTCTAATGTGAGAAACGTCACTTTGAAAGGTTCTCATTCAAATGGAGACGGACAGGACAGAGGAGGGGAGGGTTTAATTGTACCAGGTAGCTCCTGTCCGAGCTGCCCTCAGTCCGTTCAAGGTCGAAGCGACAATTAGTCGATTCTACGCTGAGTCAAAAGTGTAGCTGATCCAACACAATAGCCAGGAGCCACCCTAAGAGCAGGCATGTGTGTTGGATGGAGTAATTGGATGTGACAGGAAAAAGCAGATCCTGTGAAATTGCGATGTATTCCAAAAACAAAGTGCTGGAGACATCATAATTTAGCTGTCTGTTAAGAAGTCAGAATTGTGCTCGTGTCGCGATAAGAAATGCTCCTGGTTATTTAGCTCAAAGGGGAAAAGAAGAGGGTATGAGAGAATGTTTATCTTAAATCGTAAATGGTGTCACCTCAGTCAACATGATGAGTTTGTCAAAATGAGGATACTAATGTTAGGGTTGTAAATCCATAGATATATATCATTTTAATAAAATACACTCTGAATTAAACCAATCTTTCACCTCCTTTAAAATACGTGTGTGTTACATGATGATGATTCCAGTGCAGGCGACTGATATGACTCCAGGCAGGGCATTTAAAATTAATGATCCGTTACAAAGGTTTCTGGCATTTTCGATGCATTCTTGCTTAGTCAAGAAATGTTATTTACAGATGAGCACTCATGCTCGTCCAGAATGACCATCAACCGTGAGGTACCTCAAAACTTCTCTTGCGAATTTTACTGCATATTAAAATGCAAAAAACAGAAAATAAACAGTTCTTCAATCTTCTTGAGACCCTGAGCAGAAACCCTCAGTTAATCACCATTGTGATAATAAATTGAGGAGGGGAATTTAACACATTTTGTTGCTTGTGCTAGTGATTAACAGCTCATGTCAACAGAGCTGCCGCAGCGTTTTCCTTACAAGGCCAACAGACCAAAATTAAATCAGATGAATCACTCTTTAATTTGAGCTGCAATATGTTTTTGTGGAAGCTGGATTATTGAAAAACGTCAAGAATTAAATAATTCATCAACCATGGGCCAAGTGTCTCCATGTGTTTTCCAAACAGTCTCGAGTTTGTGCTGTAGTTACATAAATTATCAGCAACAAGCTAATTCATAACGACTTCAGGAACTCTGAGCCGCAAACTAATAGGATTTGTTGTGCTTGTGGTGCCAGGCTACATTGTAAATGTATAAAAGTCAAAGTTAAGAGGCGAAATAAGAGAAAAATCATTTTCCAGATTTCCCCCCGCACTTCTTTTCCCACCTCGCCGGGGCCTGCAGTCTCAAGGACGGTCTAAGACAAGGGCAGTTTCAGCTTTACAGACCCATATTGTATATTCAACAATGGATCTACACACTAAATGAGATGGAAGGGAGAGAAATGCTGAAGTCACCTAGAGAAGTGCTGAGCACTGGTGCTTGATATAAAAGACTCCCAATGACAATTTGCACACATTAGCCACTACCAGGCCATCAGGCTGCATGAGCGTGTGGTGCCAAGTGTGAGACGAGTATAAAAAGGACATTGGCTCAAAAAGTACCTCGGTGAGCAGATTTCCGCCGAAGACATAAGGCCACTGGACGTAAACCCAACCCATTAGTAGATTGTATCTATTGATCATTCATACAAAATACGAGCAGGAGTGAGATCACATTTGGAGTGTATGACACCAGCGGCCATTTCGGTTTCTAAAATGTTGCTTGAATGCGGCATAAATTCAGCAGTGTTTGTCATCACGCCGCAGTGGCCTCCGTTTTACACACAGTCACAGCCTGTGTTCAAACTTTTCACCTGCTGTGATGTAAGGATTTGAGCAACACGCTCAAGTAATGTTCTACTCGTTTGGGCTCTTAATTAAATAAGCCTAATTGAGTCTCGACAGATAAATGCCCCATTCAGCTGTCACCAGTCACCCTGTACAATTTTTTTGCTCGGGTAGTGCTGCAGTGCCTGTGCATCCTGAGGTGACGCTCACAAGGTATCACAGGACTAATGCAGTTACGTTGATGGATTTCATTTGGAGAACCAGACAGTAAAATTAAGACCGAGACATTCGCTTGTCTGTTTTTTAACGTACACCAGCTCCTGACATCCAAATTAAACTTGTGTGTGTTTTTTCCTGCACTGCACCTACACAGGGTCGACAGGAACATAAACCTGCCTTTGCTGTCACTCTCT